ACGAAGTGCAGCTTCGTTTAGAGAGGTGAGCATTCACTCCGACAGCAGAGCGGCAATACAAGCCCTGAGTGCGCGAACCATGCATTCAAAGCTAGTCAAGGAGTGTCTGTTCTCACTAGAATTAGCATCAGGCTCGTTTGGGTGCCTGGTCAGAGCGGAATCGCTGGGAATTGCAAGGCCGATGAGCTGGCCAGGGGTGGCACCCTTGCCCCGCTCACATCGGAATGGGATCGAGTTGGTTCTCCACTAACGTCTTGCATTCTGGCTTTGGACCAATGGACCTCGCATGCGCTCAGCAGACGCTGGTCGACGAGCGCTTTTTCGACATGTAAGGGTCTATTGATCCGGCTCATAGGAGTTTCGGGTACCACAACGGACCGGCGTTTAAGCTGTCCAAGTGTGATCCTTCTTAGGATCGACCCTCTAACCTAACCCAACCGGCCAATATGTCATCGTTCAACGGCAAACATGCCATATACTTGGAACGCCTTATAGTGACCATTAGAAGTCTTGCGGGAGATAGAAATGACGATAGACCATTAAACATCTTCATACCACCATTAAACGCCTATAGGTGGTATCACATCGGGTCCTAAAGCCTAGGTGTGCGTAAGACAACAACTCTCACCACGACCTACCTAGACTGTCAAGATTAAAGGCGTTTTGTGGGTAGTATCAATAGGGTACCAAGCACACGTATACCTGTTTTGGCAAGATATTTAACTTTACCGTTCGCGGCTCTAGCACGGCTCATTAATGTGACGCATCTTTTCCCTCGATATTGAATATTTGCGTACCATTCATCGCACATACGTGTTGAAATATATCTCTTAACTGAATATATCTCAATAAAAATCTGTGCAATAGTTTCGTACTGTACAGGCACATAGAAGTAGTGTTTGTGTTGTCTTTATTTTATTATAAATACTCGAAACTTTGAAGCAAAATGCTGTAATCAAACTAAGTGTAGTAATTAATGTTTATAAAGTTTGCCAACACCAAAAGCTGTTTGATCCTGAAAACGAATATATAAATTGTTGAATGTTGAACCGTCTTCTAGTTCCTTGTTTATTGCCTACTTTCTACGGGTAAACATGCTATTAGATGCTTTATAGAGGTTTATTATCCTATTTGTTTTTCGTAATCAGGATTGCAGCGCCTCCCACTGAATAAGGACAAAAGAGATAAACTGAGTATATACATAACGAGGGATGCAACATAAATGTGAAGGTTACTTTTGCAGGTATCTCTCCGACGGTTTTAACTATTTGCTGGAGTTCTAACCTTATTATAATGTATTAGGCATACAAGTATTTGTGAACTTTTCTCACCGTTGCTGCTTTGTATAAATGCCCGAGTTTCGGAACGTAGCCGCCGTTTTACAAGTAGAACACATATGTATGCTTATGTTCATAATAGAGAATAGATTACAAAACAGTTTATAATTTATTATAATATTAAGTTGTACTAATCAAATTGTTTACAACCTCATTCAATAAGTGTGTGTAATAATCTCGAAATACAATACCGTCTGAGCTTATTAGATTTGAGTGAACTTAAGTTGTTAACAAATATGTTCAACTGCAAACGTTGACATTTAATCACAGAGCTTTTTTAGAGGACATGATGTTTTTGCCAACTTGCTGATTACTAATATATAAAAATCAATTTTATTCGGTGAAAATACTGTTATACTCGTGTCGTTACAACATTTTGTTTTCAGTGTCAGTCAGTCGTTTATTGATAAAATGTTGTAATTATGGAAAACACATAGTTTTATTATAGCTGACGTTTATTCAATACTTATTTCAATCTCCCGCGTTATTTATTTAGCCCGACATTCTGATGGACTTAGTTTCAATTTTGGCATATTCCACTGACCTCCAGGTATGTTGAGTATCCGAATGAAATCTTGCTGTCTCTAATGGCTTTTCTTCGATATTACCTGGCTTTTCATTAAAGCCAAAACATTCTGTGGATGTCGTCTAGTGACCGTGATTTACTAATTTAAAGTAACATTATGGTTTTCTTGTTACTAGTCATGAGTTCGTCTTATGTTAACTATTCTTCTTGCAGTAAATAAATCAGTTATTTTTGCGTCACAACATTTCAGGGCTGACTTAGTAAGTACAGGTTCTGATTGCGGTACTGTTGCTTTTGATGCAAGATTCTGAAGTTCTGTCCTGTATGTATTTACAATGTGTATATCTAATTCCTTTATAAAATTTCTTTAACTCTAACCACTAACTGAGCAGTGATTTCTCAAAAGAGAGCAATATCTTTAAGTCTCACTTTAGATGTCACGCAATTCTCCTCTTCCTGTTTATCCGCGAATCTAATGTCGCTAAAGGAAATTGTTATTTTTAACGCACTGTATAATTCTAACAAATCTGAAAAATAATTTTAAATATATTTTTATATGTTAAAATTTTAGCAGATACTAATTAAATTTTACTACAATAGATGGAGAATTATATCTTTATCTGTACATCCATTATTTACAAAACTTTTATAAAACAATGTACTATGCAGGTATATAAATGGTTGCTACTACTATATAATAATCTTAGTATCCTTAGATGTTAATAAAATGGATTGCGTAAAATATTATTTTCTTTTTATTGTTAAATTAATATTTAAATATAAACATATTTTTATACTCGCAACCTGTTGTTACAGAGTATATATTTTAATTCACCTAACGGTTGTTTTGTAATCACCTCAACGGATTCGAGTTAGATAAGGTTATATATATAATGATCAGATAGCTATTATAAGAGTATATTGATATCCATATCTGTCGTCCGGTGTCCGTCCGTCCTGTCTGTCACAACTGCCGTCCGGAAGCGTAACTTGAGTAAAAATTGAGATATTGTCTTGCTGAAACTTGTTATGTTTCTGGTACCGTGAGATGGTATTGGTGGGCGACTGGACCACGTTGTCAGCCCATAAAACGCCTATTAATCAAAAAAATAATGACACTAAGTTAGGCAATGTCGTACAGATGACAAGACTGTATTGACACAGGATCATTAGAGAGGTTACTGCGGTATAATTTTTAGGGCGGGTCCCTTAATAGGTTTAATTGCTATCTCTAAACTGTTATGCTTATAATAACAAAATTACTGGACCAACATGTTTAGCACCTATATTAATAGAAAATGAAACAGAGACTAACCTGACCTCTTCTATAACTATGTACTAGAAATCATTAAAAGGCGATAAATCATATTACAACAGTCAAAGACATACAATTTATCTTTGGGATGGTGTGATGACTTCTTTAGGAAACTGCGTTCAAAATCTAGACTAGTGGCGTGGCACATGCCCATTTAGGTGAAACCATATCTTGGATCTGCTTAACCAATTTCAACAAAATTGGTACATAACGCGCCTATTTTATATTTCTTATAGTTATAGTACGAATCGAACTCTGCTAACCACGCTCTATTTCTATATAACACCATTTTCAATTCCATCTGATTTTCACTTTCCACTACTATGCGTCAAGCGATTTATCGGCGGTCAAAAACTTTGCGTAAATAAGTAAAGCTAAAAGCCACCTTGTGTATCAAAAATCCAAATCGAACAAAACTGAAGCCCTGCACAAATAATAAGTGGACCAAATCCTATAGTGAGATCTTCTACCAGAAAATATCGCCAATCCAAAAAGAAATCAAATCGAGTACTTTGACTTTGCGAGAGTAAATGATTCGGTTACATCGAACTTAGCCTTCCTTACTTGTTTTTACCTTGGGATTGAACAAACTGACAGAGCTGCTCAACAAGGATGATAATGCACAAAACTGACTGCCAAATTTTAAATAGAAATATCAAAAATCAAAGAATCCCATTGAAAAAGAAATACACTCGTAACGTCCCCTGTAAAGTACACCTTTCATTAGATCACACCACTTTTGTATTTTTATTATTACTCTGCAGCTATTTAATGTGTCAGATTTTCCTCCTTGTGTGAACAATCACTGGAAGATGCGATAAGAATGTCCCGGTATACATATGTTTTTGCTATTTTGTTCATTGTTGCTGAAAACTGTGTTTATTTTGCGTCATTAGGTTAGCAATGCAATTTGATTTGCATTTATCTCGAATTTGAATACGTATTACTCCCAATATTTTGTACCATCATCTCTTTAATATGGCTTAAGGAAAGTCGTTAACGATTGAATGCAACGAAACATATGATGAGAGTCTTCAGATTGAAAGATCGAAGATGCTGCTGAAGTCGAAATGTACCTTCTTGCAATATGTCAGAATTCGGTCGAAAAATAAAGGCGGTAAGAATAAAGTCATATCACTGTTCAATCGGCAACATGCGTAAACTGAACGCCTAAGGACTATTGTAGAAGCTTCAGGAGATAGAAGACGATGAGCACATTAACATCTTCTATACCACCATTAAACAGCTTCTATAGGTGGTATCCAATGGGCTCCTCCAAAGCCTAGTGTGTGTCGGACAACAACTCTACCTACGTATACCTAGACTGTCGATTAAAGGCGTTGTGGCGTGACAATAGTACCAATGCACACGATACTCAGTTTTAGAAGATATCTTAATTTTACTCAAGTTATATTCATACTTTCATTAGGGCGGACTTCATTTTTCCTCAGATATTGAATATTTATAAAATTTCATCATATATATCGTAATGAAATATATCTCTGAAAAATAGCGGTAATACTGATTATAAGTGGACTCAATAAGATAGATATAGTGTTTGTGTTAGTTTGGTTATTTTATTATAAATATCCGAACAGAAGCAAAATAATCAAACTAAGTGAATAATTAATGTTTTTAATAGTTTCAACACCTAAAGCGTTTGATCCTTGAAAATTACGAAAGATAAAATGTTCGTTGTCGTTGAACTTGTCTCTTATCCTTGTTTATTACCTACTTTCTACGGAAAATAATGCATCTAGATGTTTCTTATATAAATTATTAGTCCATTTTGTTTTTCAGAATCAGGATTTCAGCCGCGCTCACCCTAATTTCTCGAATAAGGACAAAGAGATAAAACGGAGTGTGCAATAATATTAGATATCATAATGATGGGATGCAAATAAAATGTATTACTTTGCAGGTTCTCTCCGACGGTTTTAACATTTGTTGGAGTTCTAACCTTTATTATAATGATCGTAGGTATACAAGTATTTGGAAATTTTCTCACCGTTGCTGCTTTGTATAAATGCCCGAAAGTTCGAAACGTAGCCGCCGCTTTACATATAATTAACATGGCATTTATGTTCGCTATAGGAATAGATTTACAAAAACAGTTTATAACTTTAATAATATAAGTTAAGTCGACTTAACTAAATTGTTTACAACCTCATTCAATAAGTGTGTGTAATAATCTTGAAACAATAAATACTGTACTCGAGCTATTTTACATTTGAAGGAACTTAAGTTATTCAACAAAATTATGTTCAAAATAAGCAAAATCGGTTCATTTAATCACCGAGCTCTTATTTAGAGGACGAGTTTCGCCCGCCTGATACGTAATATTATTAACATAATTTTATTTGAAAAATTACGTTATACCGTGCGTTCAAAAACAACATTTTTGTTTTCCAAAGTGTAGGTATCGTTTATTGATAAAAATGTTGTAATTATGGAAAACACATAGTTTTATTATAATGACGTTTATTCAATACTTATTTCAATCTCCGCCATTTATTATAGCCCGACATATTCGATGGCAATTTAGTTTCAAATTTTCGGCATATTCCACATGACCTCCAGGTATGTTGGAGTATCCGAATGAAATCTTCTGTTGTCATTAAATGTTTTCTTGATATTCTGGCTTTCATTAAAGCCAAAACATTCCCTATTGGATTATGTCGTCGACTGTGATGGCCATTAGCAATATTATGGTTTTCTTGTTTCCATTGAGTAGAGTTCGCTCCTATGCTAACTTCCTTCAGTAATCAATCAAGTTTTTCCGTCAAATATTTCAGCTGACTTTAGTAACATAGGTTTGATTGTAGCTGCTGCTTTGATGCAAGATCTCTGAAGTTGTCCGTACTGTATTTACATATGTGTATATCTAATCCCTTTTTAAACAAAATTTCTTTAACTTCTCTAACACTACACTGAGCAGTGATTTCTTCTAAAAAAGGAGAACAATATCTTTGTCCTCACTTTTAGATGTCACGCAATTCCTCCCTCTTCCTGGTTTGTCCGCGAATTAATCGCGCAAAGGAAATTGTTATTTTTTTAACGCACTGTATAATTCAAACAAATCTGAAAAAATAATTTTAAATATATTTTTATATTTGTTTCAGCATTTTTAGTAGATACTAATTAAATTTTTACTACATAGATGGAATTATATTCTTTATCTGATTTTCGCCATTATTTACAAAATCCTTTTATCAAAACAATGTACATATCATATGTAATGGTTGCTAATACTTATATAATAAATACATTAGATCCTTAGATGTTAATAAAATGGATTTGAAAATATTATTTCTTTAGTTGTTAAATAATATTAAATATAAACATTTTATACCTCGCAACCTGTTGTAAGAGTATAATAGTTTGTTCACCTAACGGTTGTTTGTATCACCTAAAACTATTCGAGTTAGATATAGGTTATATATATATAAATGATCAGGATGAAGAGACGAGTTGAAATCCGGTGCTGTCCGTCGTCCGTCTGTCTGTCCGTCGTCCGTGCAAGCTGTAACTTGAGTAAAAATTAGATATCTTTATGAAACTCTGGTTGCATTCTTGGTACCGTGAGACGATTAGCAGATGGGCGTAATCGGACCACTGCCACGCCCACAAAACGCCATTAATCAAAACAAATAATGCCATAACTAAGTCGGAATAAGATACAAGACTGTTATTTGGTACACAGGATCAATTAGGGAGGGCATCTGCAGTTAAAATTTTTAAAAGTGGGCGTGGTCCCGCTCTTAATAGGTTTAATGTGCATATCTCCTAAACCGTTAATGCTATAATAACAAAATTCACTGGACGCAAATTTTTAGATCATACTTACAGTGTGAAAATGAAACGAGGAGACAACCCGACTCTTCCCATATAACGGTACTGTTAAAAACTAAAAAGCGCGATAAATCAAGCACTAAACACGTCAGAGACATTAAATTTTATCTCTGGGATGGTATGAGATGACTTTATAGGAACCGCGTTCAAAATAGACAGTGGGCGTGGCACAGCCCACTTTTAGGTGAAACCCATATCTGAGATCTGCTTAACAATTTCACAAAATTCGGTACATAATTTATTCATATTTCTATGTTATAGTACGAATCGAACCTAACCACGCCTATTTCCCATATAACACCATTTTCAATTCCATCTGATTCTTTCACTTTCCACTATACATATCAAGCAACAATGATTATACGGGGTAAAACTTTGTAAATAATACGTTTAAAGTATGCCACCTTGTGACCAAAATTTGCTAATCGAACCAAAACTGTTCAAGCCCCTATACATAAATATGTGGAACCAGTGCTCATAGTGACCTTCTAACGAAAATATCAGCCAATCCACAAAGAAATCTCAAACGAGTATACCATTTGACTTTCTTGGAGTATAAATGTTCGGTTACATCCGAATAGCTTCCTTACTTTTTTTTACTATTTTGGGATTGAACAAAGAATAGAGCTAGCTCAACAAGGGATGATAGCATCGCATAAAAACTGATCTGCCAAATTTTACATAGAAATATCAAAAATCAAAGAATCCCATTGAAAAGAAATACACTGCACGTCCCCTGGTAAGCACACCTTCATTAGACTAATACCAATTTTTGGTATTTTTATTATTGACTTGCTATTTTAATGTTTTCAGATTTTCTCCTTTGTGTGAACAATCACTGGTAAAGAAAACATGCGATAAGAATGTCCCGTTATACATATGTTTTTGCTATTTTTGTTCATTGTTTGAAAACTGTGCTTTATTTTTGCGTCATTAGGTTAGCAATGCAATTTGATTTGCATTTATCTTCGGAATTTGAATACGTATTACTCCCAATATTTTTGTACTACTAACTTTTTTTAATATGGCTTAAGGAAAGTCGTTACCGATTGAAGAAAATGCAATAATCGAAACATATGATGAGAGCTTCCAATGATTGAAAGATCGAAAAAAGTTGCCAGAAGTCGAAAATGTACAATTTCTTGCGTAATATGTCAGAATTCGGTCGAAATAATAAAGGCGGTAAGAATAAAGGCATATCACTGTCTAATCGGCAAACATGCCAGTATACTTGGAACGCCTTATAAGGACTATTGTAGAAGCTCTCAGGAGATAGAAGACGATGAGACCATTAAACATCTTCTATACCACCATTAAACAGCCTTCTATAGGTGGTATCACAATGGGCCTCCTAAAAGCCTAGGTGTGTCGTAAGACAACAACTCTACCTACGTACCTACCTAGACTGTCGATTAAAGGCGTTTTGTGGGCGTGACAATAGTACCAATGCACACGTATACCTAGTTTTAGCAAGATATCTTAATTTTTACTCAAGTTATGGCCTACACTTACTTACGGGCGGACTTACTTTTTCCTCAGATATTGAATATTTATAAAATTTCATCATATATATATCGTAATGAAATATATCTCTGAAAAATTAAGCGGTAATATTTCGATTAATAAAAATTGTGGCACTAATAAGATAGATATAGTGTTTTGTGTTAGTTTGGTTATTTTATTATAAATATCTCGAACACGAAGCAAAATGTTGTAATCAAACTAAGTGAATAATTAATGTTTTTAATATAAAGTTTGCCAACACCTAAAAGCGTTTGATCCTTGAAAATTACGAAAGTATAAAATGTTCGTTGTCGTTGAACTTGTCTCTTAGTTCCTTGTTTATTACCTACTTTCTACGGAAAACATAATGCATCTAGATGTTTTCTTATATAAATATTATTAGTCCATTTTGTTTTTTTTCAGAATCAGGATTTCACAAGTGCCTACCCTAATTTCTCGAATAAGGACAAAAGAGATAAAACGGAGTATAATAATGATGGGATGCAAATAAAATGTATTACTTTGCAGGTTCTCTCCGACGGTTTTAACATTTGTTGGAGTTCTAACCTTTATTATAATGATTGTAGGTATACAAGTATTTGGAAATTTTCTCACCGTTGCTGCTTTGTATAAATGCCCGAAAGTTCGAAACGTAGCCGCCGCTTTACAAGTATAATAACATATGTGCTTATGTTCGCATATAGGAATAGATTTACAAAAACAGTTTATAACTTTAATAATATAAGTTAAGTCGACTTAACTAAATTGTTTACAACCTCATTCAATAAGTGTGTGTAATAATCTTGAAACAATAAATACTGTACTCGAGCTATTTTACATTTGAAGGAACTTAAGTTATTCAACATAATTATGTTCAAAATAAGCAAAATCGGTTCTTTTAATCACCGAGCTCTTATTTAGAGGACCAGACGTTCTCGGGCCAACCCGCTGATACCGTAATTATCATAAAATCCAATTTTATTTGAAAAATTACGTTATACCGTGCGTTCAAAAACAACATTTTTGTTTTCCAAAGTGTAGGTATCGTTTATTGATAAAAATGTTGTAATTATGGAAAACACATAGTTTTATTATAGCTGACGTTTATTCAATACTTATTTCAATCTCCCGCGTTATTTATTATAGCCCGACATATTCGATGGCAATTTAGTTTCAAATTTTCGGCATATTCCACATGACCTCCAGGTATGTTGGAGTATCCGAATGAAATCTTCTGTTGTCATTAAATGTTTTCTTGATATTCTGGCTTTCATTAAAGCCAAAACATTCCCTATTGGATTAGTGTCTGGTGACTGTGATGGCCAATTTAAAGTAACATTATGGTTTTCTTGTTTCCATTGAGTACAGAGTTCGCTCCTATGTTTCTAACTATTCTCTTCTTGCAGTACCCAATCAAGGTTATTTTTACCGTACAACATTTCAGCTGACTTTAGTAAAGTACAGGTTTGATTACAGTACTGCTGCTTTGATGCAAGATCTCTGAAGTCTGTCCCGTACTGTATTTACATATGTGTATATCTAATCCCTTTTTAAACAAAATTTCTTTAACTTCTCTAACACTACACTGAGCAGTGATTTCTTCTAAAAAAGGAGAGCAATATCTTTGTCCTCACTTTTAGATGTCACGCAATTCCTCCCTCTTCCTGGTTTGTCCGCGAATTAATCGCGCAAAGGAAATTGTTATTTTTTTAACGCACTGTATAATTCAAACAAATCTGAAAAAATAATTTTAAATATATTTTTATATTTGTTTCAGCATTTTTAGTAGATACTAATTAAATTTTTACTACATAGATGGAATTATATTCTTTATCTGTAATTTCGCCATTATTTACAAAATCCTTTTATCAAAACAATGTACATATGCATATGTACGTGGTTGCTACTACTTATATAATAAATACATTAGATCCTTAGATGTTAATAAAAATGGATTTGAAAAAATATTATTTCTTTTAGTTGTTAAATTAATATTTAAATATAAACATTATTTTTATACTCTCGCAACCTGTTGCTACAGAGTATAATAGTTTTGTTCACCTAACGGTTGTTTGTATCACCTAAAACTATTCGAGTTAGATATATATAAATGATCAGGATGAAGAGACGAGTTGAAATCCGGGTGACTGTCTGTCCGTCCGTCCGTCCGTTCGTCCGTCTGTCCGTCCGTCCGTGCAAGCTGTAACTTGAGTAAAAATTGAGATATCTTTATGAAACTTGGTTGACATGTTTCTGGTACCGTGAGACGATTGTATTGCAGATGGGCGAATCGATCACTGCCACGCCCACAAAACGCCATTAATCAAAACAAAATGCCATAACTAAGCTCGGCAAAGATACAAGACTGTTATTTGGTACACAGGATCACATTAGGAGGGGCATCTGCAGTTACAAATTTTTTAAAAGTGGGCTGGTCCCGCCTCTTAATAGGTTTAATGTGCATATCTCCTAAACCGTTAATGCTATAATAACAAAATTCACTGGACGCAAATGTTTTAGCACCTATACTTACAGTGTGAAAATGAAACGAGGAGACAACCCCGACCTCTTCCCATATAACGGTACTGTTAAAAACTACTAAAAGCGCGATAAATCAAGCACTAAACACGTCAGAGACATTAAATTTTATCTCTGGGATGGTATGAGATGACTTTATAGGAACCGCGTTCAAAATTAGACAGTGGGCTGGCAACCCATTTTAGGTGAAAACCCATATCTTGAGATCTGCTTAACCAATTTCAACAAAATTCGGTACATAACGTTATTTTCATATTTCTATGTTATAGTACGAATCGAACTACAACCACGCCTATTTCCCATATAACACCATTTTCAAGTCCATCTGATTCTTTCACTTTCCACTATACATATCAAGCAACAATGATTATATCGGGGTAAAACTTTGCGTAAAATACGTTTAAAGTATGCCACCTGTGACCAAAATGTTCAAATCGAACCAAAACTGTTCAAGCCCCTAAGTACTAAATATGTGGACCCCAGTGCCAATAGTTGACCTTCTACCAAAATATCAGCAATCCACAAAGAAATCAAACGAGTATACCATTTGACTTTGCGAGAGTATAAAATGTTCGGTTACATCCGAACTTAGCCTTCCTTTTGTTTACTATTTCTGGGATTGAACAAATTGAATAGAGCTAGCTCAACAAGGGATGATAGCATCGCATAAAAAACTGATCTGCCAAATTTTAACATAGAAATATCAAAAAATCAAAGAATCCCATTGAAAAAGAAATACACTGCACGTCCCCTGGTAAGCACACCTTCATTAGACTAATACCAATTTTTTGGTATTTTTTATTATTGACTTGCAGCTATTTTAATGTTTTCAGATTTTCTCCTCTTTGTGTGAACAATCACTGGTAAAGAAAACATGCGATAAGAATGTCCCGTTATACATATGTTTTTTGCTATTTTTTGTTCATTGTTGCTGAAAACTGTGCTTTATTTTTGCGTCATTAGGTTAGCAATGCAATTTGATTTGCATTTATCTTCGGAATTTGAATACGTATTACTCCCAATATTTTTGTGCTTGCAAGAATCAAATGTCTTCAGGTGATAGAAAAACTTTATATTAAAAAATATTGCGAAAGAATTTAACATTTATTATTCGATTCCATTCGTTTGCTGATATATACTTGAGAACATATTTTCAAGCACTTTTTTAAATATCTAATTAACACACTGAACTTATTCGCCATAGAACTAGTTAGAAAAACCAAAATCATTATATGTAGTGTATGGGATTTTCACCCAATTTTATCCATTTTAAGCACAAAGATACATTGTTATTAGAAAAACCCGCTCTCTCATTTTCAATAAGATAACTATATTGAGTCAACTTTTGGCACTGGGGTCCACATATTCGGTATCTGGGGGCTTAAACAGTTTTGTTTCGATTTAGACAGTTTTTGGTAAAAGTTGGCACACCTCAAAGGTTCTATTCGTGCAAAGTTTAATCTCGATATATTAATTGGCGATTTATCTGCATGTGTAAGAATCATATGGAATTTAAAATTTAGTTATATGAGAAGTAGGCGGGATTGTAGTCCGATTTCCTCCATTTTTACCGTTAAAATCGGTCGAGCAGTGAACAATGTTATTATCCGATTTCACCTATTTTCACACTATCGAGAAAAGGGTTGATTTGTCTTGTGCAAATTTGGGTGATATAGCTTGAATAGCTTAAAATATATATACGTTAAACTTGTTGGGGGGTGAGCCCACGCCCACTCGTTAAAGACCGTAGGTGCCCCTCCTCAATGTGATTCGTGCTGCCAAATTGAAGTTTTGTATCCTAATTTACGGCGTAGTTCTGGCACATTAAACTCCTTACTTTTTTTCCAAGGATTATATGTACCAAGTTTTATTAAGATTATTATTTTTTACCCAAGTTATCGCTTGCACAGATGGACGGACGTAGAGACAGACAGTCACTCGGAACTCAACTCGTCTCATCATCCTGATCATTTATATAAATATAAATTTATGTTATCCCTATATCTAACTCGATCACTTTTATGTGAAACAAACTACCATTAGGTGAACAAAACTATTATACTCTGTAGCAATGTGTTGCAAGAGCTTAATTATGCTCGAAGAGAAACACGATATTATTTTCCACTAGAGCACAAGGCCTGAAAATCCGATTTGTGCTGCGTTGAAATTTAATTTGGAAGGCCCGATGTATACAATTATTAATTCCATGATCTTCGGAAGGAGGAACATCAGTTGAAACGACTACATAGTGAGCGGTATGAAGGTGTGGGGAGCCATATTCTAATATGATACGTGCGAACTGCAATTTTTGAATACTTACAAGTATATCAATGCAAACTATTTTAAAAACATTTTGGAAACTGCTATGTTCATTTTAAAAATTTGTTTGGACGATACGATAGCATCGATTCACACTTCCCGGAAGTTTAAGTTTAGGATTGAAGGACCAACCGTCGATTTAATGTAGTGGACGCCTATTTCACCTGACATTAATGTAATAGAAAAGGTGTAGGGATGGTTACTTTACCAAGTTTTCGAATCTGGACGGAAATATTTCACTAAAGAGGAATTAGTTGAAGGTTTACAAAATGACTGGTCATCAATTTCCTTAAATTGTAATGGAAGATTGTATGAATCGCTACCAATCGGATCTTTTAGATCATTCTTAGCAAGGCGGGATCGACTCATTATTAAAATGATATACAAATGTTTAAATTAGTTAATACATAAGTTTAAAAAAAATGTATGTCTAAATATGTTAAAGAATGTCAAAAAAGGTGATATGTGCTAAACTGTCGACTTAATATAAAAAAGCCAGTTCTTTTGATGATTTAAAAAAATATGTAAAAAAGTAAAATACCAATTGTTGTTTTATTTATTACATTCTAGATTCTTTTGTTTTGTTTTGATAGATTGATTATTTAAACCTCAAGTGTGCTAACCTGATGAAGCGCAGTGTATTTATTTTCGAAAATAAAGAGTTTGTTTACGTTGGGTCTCTCTTTTAGGGCAAAAACTGAGGGGGTGAACAATAAAATCAATTAGGGAAATAATGGACACCCTAATGTATATATACTAGTTTAAATTATGATGCACTATAAAAAAAATAATAATGAAATAATTTATGAAAGTAAATTTTGCTGCAGACTAGTTTAGTTAACAAGGTTATGTAATGTACAAATTACAAGTGATGGGAGTGGTGAAGACGACTTAAATAAGAAAGGAAAGCAGGGAAACTATGGGAAATCTAAAGCTGTACCCCTTTGTAAAATCTCATATATACATATCTGAACATTTGTTTATTTTTGCATTCCAGTCTATGTATGGCCGATTTACTATCCTGTTCAATAGTACTACCTTTCAGTGCCTTGCGATTTTTGAAAGATACGTGGACTCATGGAAAATTATTATTTAAGCTAATACCTTCATCCAATATGGAAACATTGGAGTATCGCTGTTGTGCATTGCAATGATAACAATCAACAGGTAAGAATTTACCTGCTAATATAATAACTAAATTTTGAAATTGCTTTCTTTGCTTTATTTGTCAAGATGACTACAAAGGCATTAAATAGAAAATATAATATAACAAAATGTTTCTCATATTTTAACTATAACTAAGTTTTAAGACGTTTTTTATGTTACGACTATTATTATGTGGGACCATTAATGATTTTTTATCTCGCTTAGTTGCTCAATGTGTTTCTATAAGACCAATTTTCTATTAAAATTATTTCTATGCAAATCAATAATTTAAGAACGTACTGCAATATTTGTAAATACTTCTTCTGAAGGTATATTATGATTGCTCATCACGCTTCGTACGCAAAAATATACAAGAAACATTGGATTGCTATCATGATAATATTTTGGTGGGCATCCTCCTATGGTATGCAAATACCAACGCTGCTAGGTGTATGGGGAACGTTTGACTATGATGCGAAGTCTGAAACATGTTCTATTATGAATGCCATGGCCAGCAAAATTAACGAACAAAGTGTTGATGCAGAGTCCCTGGAAAACCACATTACAGGCGAGAATAGCTACAAAAAACAAGTAAACAATTCTTCTCGTACCGCTACACATGCCACAAGGAGCTCCATTGGTCAACCATTCGTCGCATTTCACATAAAGAGTCCCGAACAAGAAGCTCCACCGAATACTCATGGCAAGAGACGACATCATTTTGGAGGAAGATGAAGTGTCGACGCCACCTCAACCGGAAGTAAAGACGATGTCAACTATGAGCAAGGACGGTGTCCTGAAGAAAGTCCCATATTATGGCCAAAAAATAAATATCTCCAGATAATGACGTCACACTTATAGCTAAACCAAAAATTATAAAGACTACTTGATACGCTTTAATGTTGTTACAATATTTATACATTTTATATAGTTTACAATAAGTAGAAGTTAAGAATATACGAGATAACAAGATAAATTAAGTTTGACTTCGCAATAAGGCATTATTTTTTTGTACCTGTTCGATTTTTTACGATTTTCTAACCAAATAGAAAATGCAGAGTTTGAAAGTCGAAATTCGGACTGAAAAGGTTTAGACAACTTAGTATTGAATACAGTTATACATGAAATTTAGAGATATTATATATTGACTAAGATTTGTTATTTAATCAACATTTTTCCGTTGAATATATATTGATTTCGAATTAAAGTATATTATAAGCGTAATAGCGTTTTTCTATTAATCAACTCCAACAACAATAGTTTTCATATATACCATAAATAGTGGAACAGAAGGGTATACTTGTTTATTAAATTGTATTGTATTATTTCTTTTACACTTCATCAGGTTAGCACACTTGAGGTTTAAATAGTTTTGTAAAAATTTTAGCTGTTATTAACGAATCATTTTTGTAATCAACAAAAAAATTAATAATTTGAATTAGTCATCAGATTAGCACATATCATATTTTTTAATATTCTTTAACATCTTTAGCCAAGAACTTTTGTTTTTAAACTTATGTATTAACTTATTTAAACCGTTAGTCTAAAACTTATAAAATGCCATAACTAAGCCCCAAAATAAGATACACAAACTTTAATTTAGTACAGTGACTGGCAGTAGAGAGGAAGATCTGTTTGAAAATTGCGTGGCCTTCTCTCCTAATAGGTTCAAATGCATATCTCAAAAACCACTAAGTTTATATCAACTAATCAGGGCAAATCTCTTTGGCACGTCCTCAAATAGTATGATCGAACGATAACCACTCTAACTCCCCATATAACAGTCATATTTAAACTACTTAAAATTCATTCACTACGATTCTTTCCTAATACATTATATATATATGTATAAAGTATATATAAAAGTAGCAAATAACGTTACAGAAATGAAACTTTGCAAATGTAGGCACGTCTAAAATATGTCGAAACCATAACTTCTCAAGCCCCCATATACCAAATAAGGGTCTGTCAGTGCTCGTCCTTTCCTGTCAAAAATGAGCAAAATCAGAACATTATTTCCTCTAGTTCCCATGTACACACATAATATGAAGATTTTTGAATTGCCTTGTTTTTTTTTATACCGTATATTATCAATATACCAAAAATGTTTTCAAACTTCCGGTTAAGTTATTTTTATGAAAGTCAGAGAGCATCTTTTTAAAATTAGGTAATATTTTGTCTTGTTGTAAAAAATTAATATAAGAATTGCAAGCTTCCGGTTGGCTTTGTACTGTATATAAAGGTCAAATAAGATATCTAAGCAATATTAAATGAACGTATAATAATACTATATTTGAATGTCGAAAATGTGCGAAAACGGTGCACGAATTACCACAGCTTGCATATACCACACATGATTTTCGTTATTCTAGGAGACTTTATGCCGAATATATCGGCCAACGTGAGTTTTCTTAATAAAATTATATGAAAACATATTATTGAGTATACTTGAAAAAGTGCATGCAATCAGTTCAGGTCTTCCCGTTTCCCCAAAATAACCGATTTAATGATTTCCGACTATGAGTTAAACCAGTGTAGACCTTGTCCTAATCCTCGTATATTTATTATAACGACTGGTGTGGTGACCTTTTTCCTCATATACCCAATGCATTAAATGTATCCTCTTGGTTGAACTAATATCTCAATTGAGTTAATTATGTTGATTTTATTATCATCCCTATAATTGGGCGAGTACAGCTGCTGTTCGACAACAAAATACCAAATTGTATTTTGAAAAATCGATATTCTCTACCGCATAAAATTAAGTCGTTTGTCGCCATTTCGTGTAAATTTCCGAATTCTATAAACCCTTATTTTAATATGAGGAAAGGTCACATGAGGAAACTGGTCAGGACATGAGGAAACTGGTCAGGAACAAGAGATAACATATACACTTAATTTTTTATTTATTTAAGAACGTTTCTAACTGAACAATTTACCAAAAAAAAAAAAATATTACTTATACACTTTTTTGTTGTGAACTATTTTTTAAGAATTTAAATGTCTATTGATGCATTAATATTATTATAAAAATATTTATAATTGTAATAATTGAGCTTAAATGCTACATTCGTATAAATTGATACAAACAAAAATCCAATATTATTCGAAGTTGAAAAGAGGTTGCTTCTTGTGTTTAAAACTCTTCGATGTGTTCAAATTGACCTCATTTTAAATCTGTTCTCGTTACCTTCATTACCCAGTCTATCTGATTTATAGCTTTTATTTTTAACTACCTTTTTCGACTAATAACTTCAAGTCTATCTCAATTTTTTGCTGTTCTAGGGAATTGTTAAGCGAAACAACATTATAAGAGATTAAAAAAATCGTTTATTAACAAAAAGGATACATTTTTGATTACAATGATACAAGCATATCAACGTCGTTTTTATTATAGATATGGTGTAAAATATCGTCGTCATCTTTCTGCACAAAAATACTGTTATGTCTGCAAAATATGTGTTTATAGTTAGCAGATAGCAGAGATTTGGCATATCCAAATAATTCGTTAGTATCTTGGTCCACATATTCGTTTAATGTTATTCCTTGAGGATACAAAATTTCCTTATTTCTAAGAAATAAATCCTTAATTTTGTGTGTGGTAAATTTTACAACTATGTTGAGTTTGTTGTTATAATTTTGAGGCCTTAGAAGATACTTTCGATCAAAAATAAACACTGTTTCAATATCAGAGCGCTCACAAGGTATTTTCATAATAAAAGCAAACATTAAAATTGTATCGATGAGAGGAGTTTTAATTTCCGATTTAGAAACTCCTTTCATTATTATACCTTTCAATTCAAAGGGCAAACTCAATACTTCACTTTTCATGTGACAAGGCAAGTCAGAGCATTTTCCCTCAGTTTGAACCTTTTTATTCATTTCCTGCAACTTTAATTCCGCCAGCTTGAGTTCAGCTTTTAGGCGTTCTATATCCTTATTTTTTGTCTCTTCCAAATTTAAATATATCTTGTGAGATTTTGGATTGAGTTTGCGGCATTGAGGACAAGCGAAAGAAGACGTGCTGAAAAATAAAATAAAAGTACAGAAATTGTATAATAATGCAAAATAACAAAGCTAACTATCTAAAACTTCGTGTTTATTTTACATTAAACATAAGAACATGAATATATAGAATGGTTCATGATATCAACACTTACACTAATAGCCTTGACGTTGACCTAAAATGATGTCCAAAATTGTATCACGTATAAAGTTTATCGATTTGACTCTTTCATTTATTTTCTTATATTTGTTTACTTTTTAAAAATCAATATCCCAAAATATACCAATATTTCAGACTCAGGGCTATTGTGTAATGCTCATTTTTCTTTTGAAATTACTTAAAGAAATTAATTAAAATATATTTAATGTTTAGTGTAGCACTTTGGCTCAGCTGTCATTGATTTCAACAATTTGTTCGTTGTTTACAGTCCAGTTTCGTGCCACTTTTCCAAAATCGGACTGCTTTGTTGCTTAGGGTGTGGTGTTTACGGTTGTTGTTTCCCACATCATAGCATTGCAACCAGTACGCTTCACAGTCGGCTTGACATTAAACTATTGGAGCTCGGTATTAGGTTTCCACCAAACATAGATCTTTGATTGGACTTTGCTTGTCTGCAAAAATAAACGTCTTCAATAATGCAAAGCTTTAGTTTTTAGCTCTCAGGCGAAGGCAAATTGGCTTATTTTATCTGCAATAGCCAATGAATTACTTCATTCTTGCTACTCAGGCATTGAGGTCATGTGCACGTAGTACCGGCCTCACATTTTGGGCGCAGAATAATTTGCCCGCTGCGACTTTCCAGTTTTGAATTGGTTTATAAGAAATTCTCACTTTTCAATTGTCGTGACGTGATAATAAATTGCTATTTTTTATTATTATTGAGTGTAGAATTGAATTTTGAATTTACTATGTTAAAGGCTTATCGGAGTTTCTCTTCATAATTAGAGGCACCCTTTTGATTTTATTCTGTATTGAGATGAGGTGAAATATTTGATATAAAAAGAATTAGTATTTTAGTGCCCCAAACGGAAAATTTTGACAGTAGAAATTCAAAACAAACGTGCGATCTTAGATTTTTTGTTATTTAAATTATTAAATAATTCAATTCACTTGGCTGTTTTATCTAAGGGCGCGTCTACATCTTCTGGACTTTGTTGTACAAGTATATAAAGGAATTCCGAGCTATCCATTTTAGAAAATTTTGATATAAGCTCGGATCATTCGGCCATATTTGTTACTATAAACTCACAGCCTGAAACAACTAGAAGGCAAAAGTTTATAACAGCAACAACTGACATAGATTACTTTCGTCAGTATTTGGATGTTCGCATAGAATCAAATACACTTATTAAAAATAGACTTATTTACGAAGCAATATATCAAGCTACTCCCATTAATCAATCTCGTTTTCCTCATAAAACCTATATTTCCTTTCTAATAAGAGATATGATAAGAAAGAAGGCCAAATTAAGAAACATTTGGCAGAATAGACGATTGCTTATTCAAAGTATACACAAGTGATAAAAAGAAATTTAATCGGGCCACCAAAGAACTCAAATTAGCCTTATAAGCCTCAGGCGATTATAAGAATCAGACAGTCTCAGAATTTCTCAAAAATCTTGTAGTTGATAAAAAACACCGAGCACAGTTTATGGAAAATAACGAAATTATATTTATATTTAAAACCTTCAAGAAGAAATGTTGCCATTAGAAATACTAAAAGGTCGTGGTGTACATCTGACTCAAGTAAAGCGCAAGTATTTTGTGAATACCAATCAACAGCCTTACAGATAAAAAAGAAGTTATGGGATTTCTTTATGTGGCTTGTCAAATGGATTTTCCAGTAAAATCTATATCACAATTAGAAGTTGAAGAAGACATAAAAGCACAAAAGTAGGAGGATATAATGGTATTCAAGCAAAAATTATTAAAGCGCTTTCGGATAAATGCATGCAATATTTGACTTTGTTATTCAACACAATTCTTCAACTTGATCACTTTCCAACAAAATTTTTTAAAGAATATTTCTGGGAAGAATGTTGTCAGTTATTGATCACCATTTACCTGATGCACTTGAAAATAAAAAATACTCCTCAGGAGTATTTTCGGATATTCAACAGACTTTTGATCTTGTGTGGCAGGATTGCCTTATAAAATAAAAAAATATTTCCTTCTCCATTTTATTTAATGCTGAAATCGTATTTGAGTGGTCGCAGCTTTTATATAAATCATAGGAACGAACACTGGATTGCCTCAAGGTAGTGTTCCTGGACCTGTCCTTTATATAATATTATATCCACCTCTGATTTCCTAACCTCCAAAGAGGTTTTGATTGTTACACTACTTTAATGGCAGCTGACGATATTCCAGCTAGTGCTACATCACATATTCAACTTGAATTGGAAGGAATAGAAACATGGATGAAAAAATTGAATGTTAAAGTGAAGACCGAGAAATCTGACCACGTAACATTTATATAATGTAAAAATGACACTCAGATTCCTGAAAAAGTTCAGTTAGTAATCTTGGAATGTATCTTAATGGACGACTTACGTGGAAAGATCATATCTAAGCAAAGCGGCAGCAACTTAAGATTAAGACACACAGAATGTATTGGCTTCTTCGTTCGAAGTCTGAACTAAGTCTTGAGAATAAAATTTGTTTATACAAAGTGATTTTAAAACCAGTGTGGGCATATGGTATACAGCTGTGGGACACGGCTTCCAAATCAAATATAGAAATTCTTCAACGCTACCAGTCAAATACACTAAGAATATTTGTTTATTATATAGATACATATAAAGTCAAGAAACTCAACGACTCAAAAGGTATCATGTTTTAGATTTGCCTTTGAGAAATTAAGAATGTACACGAGCTAATATATATGTATGTATATATTTATTTAAAAATAGATTTTAATGAAATAATCATTGATATCTCTTGTTAATATAATTACTTCCTCAATTTTGCTGAATGTTATTAAGACCGATTGCAAAAAAAAAACCAAAATAATAATAATAATAATAACAATACTTTACATTCAGGAAGGTTCTGTAATTCACTTCCGAGTGAATTTCAATTAAATTCACTTTAAATCCGAGACTTGGTGCGTTAAAAAAAACAAGATTTTCCGCGATTACATTCGCTGGCGCGTGCAACTCGGTCTTTTTTTTTTGATCTTCTTAATCTGTCGTTAGCATTAGAAACGTTGTGAAGCAGCCTAACGAACCATCCTAAAGGTCTCAAATGGACTATTAAGAACACTAAAAAGTATTAAAATAAGAGTGGTACATTTGTGAAGTGGTGGTCTGGCCATTATAGAGAAACTTTAAACGTAGATGACAAAGCAGGAAGTGGGAGGAATTAGGTGACATCTAAAAGTGAGGACATAGCTATTACTTTCCTATTAGAGAAGAAACCATTTTGTTTAAAAGGGGATTAGATATACACATCTGTAAATACAATACGGGACAGACTTTAAAGATCTGGCATCAAACGCAGCAGTACTATAATAAAACCCCTACTTTCAACAACACACATTGAACGAATAATACCCTTCACAAATACAAAAGGTTCCTTACATGAATTTCTTAGGAGATTGCATTATTGAAATGAAAAAGTTATCCATGCAAGCATTTGATTCCGATCGTTGTGGCAGTTATATGATATAGTGGTCCGATATCAGCAGTTCTTTCCTTCTCCTTAGGTAGAAAAGGACGTGTGCAAAATTTCATATCGATATCTCAAAAACTGAAAGAGTAGTTTGCGTACATATAAACAGACGGAAATAGCTAAATCGACTCAACTCATCGTTTATACCATATACACCAGCTCTAATAAGTCTGGACTCCTTTACAAAATAAATTTTTTCTGCTTTAAATCTTAGAAATTATTGGTTAAATAACTAAATTTTGTATACGCTAAATTGCTAACGGTACTAATTATGCCCCACCGACAGGCGAAACCATAGATAACGGATCTTTTGTACCCGGAACCAAAGAAATTCATGTGTCAAAGTGTTCGTTCATCTCGTTTAAGTTCTAGTTATTGTATCGTACACCCCACGAATTTAAATAAAAAAAATTATAGTAAAAACTATCTTAAAGAAGTTTTAGTTTACAGACTTTTAAACATTTTGCATTTTTGGTAGTAATGGAGGCAAAGGAAAAAAAGTTAAAAGGGTGAAAGAAAAATTATTATTAAATTGCACAATAAAGTTCTAATATAATCCCTAAATAACATAGACCATTGGTAAAAATTGCTATTAGTTTGGACAATTAATCAAACCCTTGCAAAGCAAAACACAAAAGGTGTTGACAGTTGTATTAGGACGTTATGAAGAAGCCACAACCTTACAATATCCGCTGAATGTTTGGGGTCGTTGTCTTGTTGAAACCAAAATCCGTTGTCTAGACAAAATTTTTCGGCACTTTGTCTTAAATTGTTCTTTAAGTGTTTACAATTTCCTTATATGACCATCACACCTACTCCGAGATGTGTACCCATGAATTTTCGTGTGGCGTACGAAAACATGTTAAGTAGCAGCCAATATGTTAAAACAGTTTACTGAAGTCAGCTGAAGGGCTTTAAGGCAAAATAACCATGCTTGGATATTGCACATAGGCGTGGACTATGTACGCGATGGCAACAAGAAAACCATATGGTTACTTTAAATTGGACATCACAGTCACCAGACGCCAATCCAAAAGAGAATGTTTGGGCTTTAATGAAAGCCAAGATATTAAGAAAACATTTAACATAATCAAAAGATTTCATTCGGATACTCCCAACTTACCTGTAGGTCACTTCCTGTGGAATATGCGGAAAATTTTGTTGCAAGTTTTTTGAAGGAATATACATTTCATTTAGTTTTTAATAAATCTTTTGAAGATATTGTTTATATCCGGTGATAGAACGAGCATATTTAGAGAACTCTTTCAAAAGGTTACAAAAATTATACAAATTTTATCTATTATGCAGAATGAAAATTAAATCTAAAACGACAAGAATAATATAAGAGATAACAGTCTGTGAACTTCAAGTAGTTAAATAATCCTTTCTATATAATAAATTTACCTTTTATAGGTAAAAATTAGAAAAGAAAATACTCTCAATGTTTAACATCTTTTGCTACCAACCGAGCAGTCCTTCCTTAACCCAGTTAAAGGGATACAAAATTTAAACAAATTTTCATTTATAAGCTGTTTTTATGACTTACTCTATAGCGGAAGAATTAAATTTACTGTCCAAGTTATTCCATTCAGACGTACAGCAGATTAATTCTTAAACTTTAAAAATGGTGCTAAAACAAGTTCACAATTTTCGCTAAATAAAGCCTTCTCCTTCTTAATTTTCTTTACTGACAATAGCTTTTCTGCATCGCTCCTTTTAAAATAAATATATACCATATAAACTGCGGTGCACTACGATCATAATACAGTGAAACCTCAATATAACGAATTCCTTGATATAACGAATTTTTCAAAATCCCCTAGCACTGCCCATAAGAGCTCATGTAAAATATACCTTTGTATTATGAATATTTTTTTTCCAACCTCACAATAACGAATTTTTAGACTCAGCAAAATATAGATCGAAACTATTTTTGACCTTTACTTAACGAATTTTTTGTACCACAACCTTAACGAATGACTGCTTTTCGCGTCAGCTGTTTGACTGTAGTCAAAAACATCCCTCCCTAGTTAATCGTTTTTTGACTATAGTTTGCTCACTCCCTCCACTAGCTAGCAAAAGCTGATCACGTACTTCGTTCGGTTACGTATTGCTATCTTGCGAAATTTGACACGGATTATTATTTAAAGCAACAATGTAATCTCCGGAGAAGTTATTTAGATCGGATGACTATAGCATATAGCTGCCATACAAACGACAATCGGAATGAAGTGCTTGTATGGGAAATTCTTTCTATTGACGAGGTATCTTCACGAAATTTGATGATATGGCAATAATCTATTCGCCGAAGAAATTGTATGATCGGATGCTATAACATATAGCTGCCTAACTGAACAATCGGAATAAAGTCCTAGAGAAAACGCTTTCATTTGACGAGGTATCTTTCCGAAATTTGGCATGGATTATTATTTA